TCTCCTCTCTCTCTCTCTCTCTCTTGACCTTAAATTTTCTCTGTCCCTTTCTCACGAATGTGCGCTTTCTCTCTCTTTCTCTTAACTATTGATATTCCTTTGTCCTCTGTTTATCTATCCATCTCTTTCTCTCTGCTGTCTTTTATCTCTCTTTGTCGTGGTTCTGTAGCTAGTTTGGAGAATTCCGTTAAATCATGTCAGTTCATATAGAGTCACGATACTTCCACGTATCGCTTCATCCTCGTCGGTGTTCTTGCATTTCCTGTCTGTGTGTTGTGATGTCGTTAATCGCATTATTTAATATGACAAGTAAATTCGAAGTTTAATAGAATTTAGTTTGCAATATATTTCTGCATTATATATTGGACGATGGAATTGATCGTTTATATTTTAATGAAGTTTACTGGTTTTATATTAGATTCGTGAGAAAAAAAAATATATATATATTAATGTCGCTGATAATTAGTGAATTAATTTTTATTGAATGAAATAATATTAAATTTATTTTTGAAATTGTGTTATAGATAAATATTTAAGAATTTAGGGAAAATATTTAAATGTTTAAGATAAAGTAATTGGAAGTTATTAATTGAAATAATATTTAGAGAAACGATTGTTTAAAATAATGTTTTAACTTTGATTATTTCAAATTCAAATAAGAATTCAGCTATACTTTTAAATATACCTTTTTCCAATCGACTATTACGAAGATTGTACAAGCCGCAGTGCAATTGCTACGACACATTAGTTTAATTTCCCAGCAATTAACCCTTGGGCTGACATAAGAAGACTATTAAACACACCGCCAGTCCCAAGGGTCTAAAAATTACCCAGCAAATTGCGTCCATGTTAAATTCTCCACTATATCCGCTATATAATTCGCGAATATCAAAAGCATCCTCTACCCTTAACTTATCTCAAAAAGTTTACTTTTTGAGATAGCTTATATCTTTTATGAATATATGTGCATATATGTTCCCTTGTATCAAAATATATATATAATATGTTTTACAATTTTAAGCGCGTTAGTTTGTCAAGCTTTACTTTTCTTTCTCCTTTATATCAGTTATCTAAGCTAGTTTTCTTTTTCATTCACGATAGAGAGAGAGAGATAGGGAAGGGAGGATAACGATGAGATCAAGTTCAATATGTATAAAGCCATTTAAATTGAGTTCCACATCCGTAAACTGAAGTAAAATACTCAAGTTGAGATATTTCAGGCTTTTTTACTTTATATAAAATCCATGATATTTATCATGGAATATAATATTATTTTGTATAATCATTTATTTCAACGAGCATGATTTCTTTTAAATATATTTTCAAATAATAATCATTTTATTGATGTTTGATATAATATTGCTTTCTCAGTCAATTGTTGAACAAATTTTAATTATTAATTTATTTCTTCCCAATTGAAAATCTTAAGACAATCTTATTATGTTTAATTCTTAATGAATTTTTCAAATTTTTGATACGCGATTTTTAAAATTTGTCAAAAAGTTTAAGAAACGTGTTCAGTGAAAAGTTCAAAATTAAGAAATAAGATACTTTTATTTCTCATTATTAAGTAAAAAAAATATATATATATTTTGTTTTTAAACAATCAATTACTTAAAACTATATATACTTTATAGATTTCCTTCTATTAATAAATATATTGCATAATGATCAAGTTTTTCGTGATATATTTATTATTGTGTCTTTTTTGTAAAACATTTATATCAAGGATGTAATATTTATTAAAAATATCATTTAATAGATATTTTGAAAGCAACTTTCTATTTATTTTCATTGTTACTTGAGATTATTTTAACACGTTGCCTACAATCAAATTTCGATTAATACGAAAAATATCGTCATACTTATAATACAAAAATGAAAAATGAAGTATACAAAAATAAATTCGTTCTCGCAAAAACTTTGAAAATGATTATTATTAATCGATACAAATATCGTATAATTCAACCAGTATATTCGAATCTACTTACCCGCGATACACTCAAACCCATCACTACTGGTTTATTCATATCCCAAGAGATTGAGATATTCTCTTGGCGGCAAACTGGTGTTAAGTTATTTCAACTGTACAAAGCGAAACTGATTTCGAAATTAAACGTACCTATGGGCAAGAAAGGTCGTCGAGGGTGGGAATTGCGTTTTCACGAATGAACGCGGAATGGAAAACCGAGTGCGGTGTGAACGACTGGCCTGGGAATTAGGCGTATAGATGCAGCTGCCTCCTTTCAAAGTGGCTGTTGTTAACTTCGACGAGCGAGTATTTGTAGTTCTCGTCACTGGCAACTTGAAGGGTTTCATTGTTTTTTAATGCGCCAAAGAGGCGGAGGAGAGGATTTCGTGTCTACTCGAGAATTCCCTTTTTAGAGGGAAATTTCTAAGTTTCCGCGATATCGTGCCAATTGTCGAGTTATTTGTCATTGTTCCAACCATATTCTTGATGGCTTGAATAAGGTATTACTTTGCATTATAACGGATTATTCCATGGAATGTCTCGAGTATTAATTGTTATTGATGTTCAGTTTTTGAAGAGTCAAAAGCGAGTATACATTTTAAAGACATTTATCTATTTGATGAATTTTAGTTTTACGTTGCGTACATTGAAAATTGATAATTATCATAAATAAATATTACTTTTGTAAGATGTATATTCAGATTGTACATGGATACATAAAGTATTGTAGGAATTTGATGAGTTGCAGATAGTTTTATTTTGATTTATTTTTTTGAAAATTAATATAAAATTTTTCAGACTACTATTTTAAATTGTAGATGAAGATTTAAAAAATATTATTTCATATTATTTCAAAAATATTTCCAACATATATTTTGTATAATAATTATACAATAATATATAAAATTATATATAAAATTTATTTATCGTTCTTATGTTCTTCTTCTTTATTTTTTATTTGTACATTAAATTCATACTCGTACAAAAAAGAAAGATTTCTTTTTAAAACGAACAAAATTCATTTCATTATGAGATTCACTAATTATAAATAAAATATGCCATATTTATCATAGATCTCATAAAAATCTTAAATTTCGATTTTCGATCCAATTCCAAGAAATTTGAAAAATACATTCTTCAAAGTGAAATCTGTTTTAAAATTTTTCCCCAAAAGCTTATAAACGACTCAAAATACGCAACCGGATATATGTTTTTAAGTTTTCCTGCTGCATCACAATTACAGCATATTTAGTTGATTTCTTTCTTCGTCTTGATGATCGTTTAACGAGGCAAGTTTTAACAGACAGATCGATATTGTCAAGCTTTGCTATTGGCGGGGTCGCCACTTCGTTATTTATTCTTCTGATTTGAATAAAGCCACCGGAAATGTCTTCGTGCCATTCTCGCAAACACTTCGACTTTACAGTTGGTACGCGATACTTTCATATAATCCTCGCTGTAGAATTCTCGAAACTTTCTCGTTATCGATTCCAAGATTTTATCCATACTTGAAACTCTAGGTGGTTGTTAAGATCTGAAAGCAGAATTCTGAATCGAAATTTCCGTTGGCTCATATAAAAAAAATGGCTAAATGATAAAATTTAGGAAGTTTGAAAAAAATTATATGCAATTAAAATTAATCGATTAAAAAAGATATATTAGAATCGGATATATATGAAATATCTTGGATTAAAGAAGACGGAAATTATTTTTAACATTATGAGAAAAAAGTTTATTTCTAATTTTTCAGAAGATCTGTAAAGTTAATTTTTCAGGCATCGTAAAATTTTGAAAGTTTCCAAACATATTTTTTTAATTCATTCCTTTATTATCATAGAATTTTTTTCTTACAAATTTTATATTACAAATTTATTTTAAGATATTTCAAAATTAATATACAGAATGATTATATCCTCAATATAAATATAAAAATACTTCCAGAATGATTTATTTTAAATCTAGTTCCTTTATCCAAAATTGAATAAGAAATATTAATTCCCTGAAAATAAAAGTTAAATTATTCAATAAAAATCTATCGAACCAAACCAAAAATAATAATTTTCAAACGATTGAAAAAATTTTTTTTACCAATTCTACACTTTATAAGATTTTCATTCATTCGAAATCGTGAGACGACAAAAGAAAAATCTTGTTTCTTCTACATCTTCTAATACGATACTCGTATACTTCTTTTTCTCGTTATACAAACCTTCTTATCACCCACAAGTCTTTCAAAATTATCCGAATAACCTTTAAACGCTAGACGCACACCACCGCCGTTGTTGAAAAATTCAGCGCGAGGGGGGACGAGATCGAGGAGCAGTGTAAATAAGTAATGCAAAGTGTGAGCAAAGTAAAAAGGATCACCACGGTCACGAAACCGCGGGGGGAATTACATTTTCCCCTTGGCCGTTCGTCACAACGAAACTCGTCTCGATTTTCCAGCCAGGGAAATTCGTTGCACCTCCTCTTCTCCACCCGCGTCCGCTCCGTTTTAAAAAACGGAATTATTCAAGAAAAATTTGCGGGCGTCGTCGTCGTCGTGGCCGCTGCGGAAGATTGTTATCGCTGAAAGCCGCGGCCACGTTTTATACATATTTACCACGCTAATTACACAGCGGAGAGACGGGATCCGCATTACGACGCATGAAAGATACACGAGAAGGGGGGAGAGAGTTGAAAGAGGATTTACATTATACCCCCGTTAATTTCCATCGTGAAAAAGGACAGTGAGTATTCACGGAAGGCTGGGGGGGTGATTACCAAGCTGAAAGAGGGAGAAAAGGAAAGAAGGATGGAAAAAATATATTCCTTCTATAAGGAAGATGTAAGGGAACGAGCCTCGAAATTATACAACGGTTTTTCATCCTTTTACAAAGCGAGACTGAGTTGGGGGGAGGTTGAAAGAGTTCTCGATACGATCGAGAGACACGTATGAAATATTCATGGGGCTGCACGAGTTCACCCCTTTGGTTATAGTGAATCGAAGGTGGAACGGCAGGGGATATCGGTCGGTGTTTCACCCCCCATGGAAAGTCTTGTTTTCGAGAGGGGATGCAAATTGTAGACTCGGCTCGTTCGAAGCGACGCGCTCGTTCGAAATCGAATTTCAGATAAATTTCTGGGGAAACTCGAGGGGACTGGTTTGCAAATAAATCATAGCATGAAGCGGGGCTGGATGGAAATAAAATTTCGCGCTTGTTAGCAATTTGGAACGTTGGTAGCAATGAATCGAATAATGGAGGAGGATTGGACGAACGTTAGTGCGAGGAGGGTAATAAATAAATATTTTTTTTTTTACAGTTCGACAGTTTCGATAGTTGGTTTTTGCGTTACAATTTTAATTCGTGAAGATTTTCAATTTTGCGCAGTTAAATTATGCTTGGAAGAATCTGCAATCCTTTTATTCTTCTTGATAATATATATTTGTGTTATGTTAATTTGGAAAATTCATGTAATAATGAAGAGAATATTTAATGGTTATATTTCTTCAAATTGTTTAATTTATTAATTATTTATTTTTTATAGTATATAAATTGGTATATAAAATATAATATATAGTACGTAAATTGATCTGATTTTATCAGATAGAACAAAACTCTAAATTGGTAAGATACTGTTACTTAAGTTATTAAATGTGTTAATTAATGATATAAATTAATGATATAAATACCTATAAAATTGACCAGTATATGATAATATATTTAATTCTAATTTATCTAGATATATATAAATATATATTTTATAGAAAACAATATTGATTACTAGTCTATCAATTTTATAAAGACGTGATAGGTAAATACTTTTTTATTAACAATTATAATTTCCATACTATTACTATTATATATAATTATAACTTCCATACTCATTTTATTATCAAATATTATAATGAAGATACAGATATGTTGAAAGAAAAGTGAAAAACGATACAGCCTGTAATTAAAATATTCTATTTAACATTTTATCTTTTAAATTACTATTGTAAATAGATAACAGTGTAATTTATATCTTAAAATTTATATAAAAAAAAATAAACAACAAAATTTTATTGTTGTTAAATATTCATTTAGGAAATAAATTTTAAAATATAAATTAAATATAACTAAATATAATAAATAGTAACTCGAATAATTGGAAAAAGTATATTTCAACTGAAAAGCGCATTTTTATGCTTGTAATAAAAACGAAAAAAAGATACACTGTTAATGTCCAACAGTTTACAATTCATTCATTTACCATTTATTTATTTTTATTCATACTCATTAATTTTTATCACTTATTTGTCTCGGTATTCGTTGATTCGTTAATGTAATTGAAAAGTTAGATTTCTTGGTTGGTTTGATGAGGATGTAGAATGGTATTGCAACGCATTAGTGCGTGCAGAGATATCGTTTGCAAAGAAAAACGCACGATGCGAGGACAAATTTTTATTGGGGAGAGATTATCTTGATATAGTGGATTAATATTTTTTCGCATCTGCCTGTACGAAATTCGACCTCGTAGTTACGAGCTAACTTTACATCGAGTGAATTGTGGGATTTTTTTTGCGAATTTGGGAATTTTTTCACATGAATTTTCGAAATTTTGTAAACGTATGAAACATTTAAAAATAGAGGAATTTAAATTCAGAAAAAGAGATATTTGTTAATTAAAGATGTAATTGATTGATATATATGAAATTTTATTTTTTTCAGAATCATTTTTTTTTAAAATAATAGACTAATATATTCGTTAAATTTTGTTCTATTGTAAATTATTATCAATCACTTGTTTTAAAAAAAGAATGAATTTATTATAAATTTAAAGATTAAGAAAATATTTGAGCATTATTTTGATTTGTATAATTTTTTTTTTTTACGTGCTTAAATTTGGAAAATATATTATATATTTTCAAAAATATTAAAATATTTCGAAGAGAACTAGATAATTTGTATAAAATCAATAAATTGATAAATCAATTGATAAATTCTAAATAAATATTTGAAAATTTTTTTCAATTCTAAAACCAACGATATATTCGTTATATATGAAAATAATATACAGTATTGAAAGTTTATTTAAAAAAAAATCATTTTATGACTATTGAAAACATTTTTCACTTTTCGATCTTTTTCACCCATGTTTGAAATTTTGATAGTGCATTGAAATTGAAGTATTAATACAAATTGCAATACAATACATTAATATGCATAGTTCTATCAAAAACCATAACGAATCTTTGGCATTCGTTCATTTATCACGAAATACGGCTTCTATTCGAAGAATTTCTCATTGAAATGTAGAAAACATTGATGGAGGGAAGGAAGGAAGAGAAATCTCTGCGCATGGAAATTAAGACATGTTTGTGCATGTTCATGACAGACCATACGAGCATTTCACGAGCAAACATGCTTGATACGCGATTTCTAAAGCCACCTGTGGGAACGTTCTTCGTGGATGATGAGTAAACTTCGCGTTTCATGTTGGGAAGAAATGTATAGACGATGAAAAAAAAAAAAGGCAAGTTGTCAACGATATTATATAATTCCTCGTTTATTTATTTCCATATTTACGTGAAAATTGACAATTTCATTATTCTATGCTCTTCATTTTTTTTTTAAGATACTATAAAATTCTTATTAATATCGTGACAAATTGTCAACGAGCATGTTCGAATTATATTCGAATATTAAGATTATTTAGTTTTAGATTGAAGTGAATTATATTGAAATAATCACAATGTTATAATTTTAAATTTTGTTCATGAAATAGAAATTCAATATTATTTGATTATTAATTATCGTTTTCGTCGAAATTGTATAAATATTTGAAATTCATAGATATTTAATAATACTCATCCAAAACGTAAATTTATTTTTTTTTTTACTGAGATATATCTATAATACAATTTTAAAATCGATAAGGAACGAATTCGGAAAATAAAAAAATAACCAAATTATATATATATAATACCATATCATACAATGATTTTCGTGTTAATAAACCTTATAAACATTCATCATATTTAACCAATGCATAGAACACACCCCCCGTAAAATTAATTCGATATCTCAAATTCAATAAGACAAAAAATTTCAAAACGTCGTAGATAAACAATAATATATTCCTCCTCAATCCGCAAAAGCTAAGCTTTCCAAGGCACGCAAGAAAAGACACGAATAACATACAAGAATAAACACAAGCATGACATTAGATTATCGCGGTAGATAAACAATAATATTTCTCCCCTGCAGATCTGCAAAAGAAAGTTGAACTCGCAAGAAAATACTCGAATCCCTCGAGCGACGAATACCGACGAAAGGTACATCGATATTTTCAAAAAAAACATACTCTATTTCATCAGCCTAGACACATTATTCTCCCCGAATAACCAAGAGGGAACCTCTCCATCTTCGTCCATCCTTCCGCGTTGCAGAACAAAGCGGGGCAAATTGTGGAGGTCATAAGGGAGACGGAAAGCGAGGTAACGTTAATTAATTATTCTCGACGAGGGAAAAATACAGTTTCGCCTCGGATAAACCCTCCCCCCATAAGCGAGAGGGCGAGAGAAACGGATAAATGGCGGAATTGCGACGGTGACCCCGAATAAACGTGGATTGGGGCGAGACAATGAACGTGTCTGACGATAATCTCGGAGGGAACGAGCCTGGGATTTCTTGGTGAAAAGAAAAAAATGCATGCTTTGTTGCATGCACCACTGCAGAGACCAGCTGACGCATGTAATTACTCGTGCAACCGAAGCACTGCGCGCCCTAAACGTTTTCCACGTTTGTGAGACGGATTGCGATGAAGTAGCGATGGAATCTCAAGTCTAAAGTCTGGTCGAGTTGTTTGAATATATCTTCGAAATTATCGATACTTAGGTTAGGTTAGGTGAGGTTAGGTTAGGTTGGTAAGAAGTTGGAGGGAGAGTTTGTGCAATTTTTATTCACGTTTTTAAGAAACGTAATGGGAAACTCGTTATCTCCAAAATCATAAGTTTCAGAAAGAAATTTCTGAAATAGACTCGTTCAAATTCATCCCAAATTTTCCCTTCTTCGTTCCATTCACAAACAGAGTGTCTGACCGCCTGAGAGCAAGATTTAGCTTTAGTTTTTCGTCGTCAAATCAAATCCATCGTATTTCCAAATTCCTGCACGTAGGTAAACGCAGGCGAAGAGCATTTTGTCGCGATGGGGTGGTAAAGTAAATCGATAATGCAGGGTCGACTCGTGTGCCGGGA